ATATAACGTAATGCATCGTGTACGATATCCACAAAAGTCATAGAACACCGGCCCTGGATCACGAATAAGCTGTCTCAGATCAGCACACAGCTGCGCCACCAGGGCGGTAGGCACACTGCACCCACACACATCCACTGTGACGGTATCCACGTACGTCCCCCTCACATCCACCACCTGCCCAGCTCAGCCCGCCCGCCCAGTGCCGCCCCGATTGTGACTCAGGTCGCGTTGCTACCCGATTCCCCCCGCCGACCCCTCGGGCCTGCACCGCCCAGCTCAGCCCGCCCGCCGCGCGCCTGTGGTCCGCGGGGTGCGCCTCCCGCCGAGTCTGCGCGCGGGCGGCCTGCCTACCTCCCAGGCGCCCAACACACACACACGTGGGCCGCTCTCTGAGTTTGCAGTTTGGCTGCATACCGACCGCTCACACGCACCATGAGCTCACACAAACTCGACGACTGGAGCGGGCGGTGGTGCGGCTAAGCAGCCCGTGTGTGTTCATCAACACACACGCATACAGGGTGGGTGATCCGCGCCGTGGTTTTTTTTCTGCTTATACTGTACGGCATTCATGCGCGCGGACGGGTTGCATACTCGCACGCCGTAAGGCGCCATGGCGAGCGCAATGGGCAAGCCCGCCCGCTCGCGTGAATCCGGTACAGTATAAGCAGAAAAAAAAACACGGCGCGGATCACCCACTCTGTATGTGATATGGAGGTTTGGGTGCATGCGCGCCCATAAAACAAGTGTGTTTCTTCTGTTCAACACTTGTAAGTGCGTGCAACTGCGCCTTTAAATATAATTTGCAACTGTTTGAATCCGAACATCCGAACATTCGCAAGTGTGCGCGCAACTCGGTGGTTGCACACTTGTGAGTGCAACTTCTCTGTTAAACACAGGGTGAGCGTGTAAAGTAAGTCTTGAAGCGTTCAAACGCGAACACTTAAAAGTGCTCTGCTACAGAGTGTAAGACATACATTCAAGTTTCTAACAACTTGCACGTGAGCACTTTCAACGAGGGGGCCACCACTCTTGTAATCCTGTGTACAGATGAGGGTGTAATTCCTACGTAATCCTTATCTATTCCGTGTAATCCTTGACCAAATTTTAAAACATCAGTAAATTTTACCTTCTTTTCCAAATTTTATGGTTTTAGAGCCTAAAATTAAACAAAATTCACGTGTAATCCCTGTAATCACGTAATCCTGTGTACATCCTCAATCGAAGTGGTGGCCCCCTCGCCTTTCAAGCTTGAAGCAGTTAAACACTTGGTTTATATGAATGTGGTGCTGCCGTTAGTAATTTTCCTGAAAACCGAATATTACTCGAATGTCATCGTTATTATTTTAGAAGCGTACTTGTGAATACTAGATATTCTTTTTTACTCTGTGTGTATGAGGGTTACAAAAAAGGGAGGGAGGATTCGTCACAACTCTGAACGAGCCGGAACGTCCCCCTCTCTTTTTTTTTTCTTGTCGCGAGTCCCTCGCCAACTTTCTGATATATAAAGTGTGGAGGTTGACGATTGCGGTCTGCGCGACGGCGGCCTCTGCTGCTCAACTTTTTGCACGACCTCCTCGTCTTCGCGTTATTTTCGCCTTGCTAATCCCGGAAAGACTGCTGTGTGCCCTGGGCCGCGTCGGGCTAGCCCTCTGCCCCCCCCCCCTTCGCACCCCCTCTCCCACATACCGTCCCTTAACCCCAGCTCCCCCCACCCCCTCCGCCAACTCGTCCTTCATTTACGCATTTCCTTCCCCCTCTTCGCTATTCCACCGCCACCTGTACACGGCTACGCCAACAACTTCCACCCCCTCCTCACTCACCCCCTCCTCTCTCACCCCCTCCTCACTCACCCCCTCCTCACTCACCCCCTCCTCACTCACCCCCTCCTCACTCACCCCTCCTCTCTCACCCCCTCCCTCCTCTCCCGGGGTTCGCTTTAGCTGTCTGTAATTAGGCTGAGGAAGTTGCTGCTAACTCAAGGCGACCGTCTCAAGTGCCTCCAGCCTCCAGTGGCTCCATGGTCTTCTCCGGCGTCTCGGCCTAGCCTGCAGCGCTGACTTCAAAAAAGCAATAACTCTCTTCTAGCGCCCAGTTTTGGCAGGTCGTCGCACTTCACCCAGTCGTTCCAAATTTTATTCGGTACTCTGTAGAAAAAAATGGCTTCCAGTCATTTGTTGTAAAAGTGGAAGATTTAAAGTTCAAAACTGTTCCTTCTCGTCGTTCGCCCTAGTTTGCAACCAACTTTTCACTGTGTTATAAAATCACGGTTTCCAACCTTTTAAAATCGCAGAAATTTCTATTCTGAGACACAAAAATGTGACGTCATTTCGGTCATTCGTATCAGAGTAAAATTATTTCTTTTCAAGTGTCGCGTGCACACTAAAATCTTACGAACTTCTTTTGTTCACAGGTTTCGGTGAGTTTTTTGCGTATTAAAAAATGCGTACGCCGAGCATGTTTACAGAACTACTTAGTAAGCTATGAATGTTCGTAAGATTTTAGTGTGTATGGCGAGCGCAGTTTTGCTT